CTCCACAGACAGCAAGGGTCCTACCACGGTCAACATCGACAAAATAGTGGATTTGACATCAGTGGTTCAACCGTAATTTTATGAAGCTATGAGAATACTTTTTGTGAGCAAAAAAAAATAAAAAAAAAAAAATATTCAACAATTAGCACTAGGATCCTCTCCGGCGTGATTTCAGCGTGATTTCAATACATACCTGCACCATACTTAAAACTGTTATGTATTATAAGCATTCAGATGACTCTTCACAAAAATACAATTTATTTCTTAACATGTAAAACTTTAAATTAGCACCAACTACTGAATGCACTTTCACTGACATTAAAGGGATAGTTCACCCGAAAATGCTAATTCTCTCATTAATTGCTCACCCTCATGTCGTTCCAAACCCGTAAGACCTTCGTTCATCTTCGGAACACAAATTAAGATAGTTTTGATGAAATCTGAGAGCTCTCTGACCCTCCACAGACAGCAAGGGTCCTACCACGGTCAACATCGACAAAATAGTGGATTTGACATCAGTGGTTCAACCGTAATTTTATGAAGCTATGAGAATTATTTTTGTGCGCAAAAAAAAATAAACAAAAAGAACTATTCAACAATTGTTCTCCCCTGACTTACCATCTACCCCCATTATGGAGAGTACCACAATGCTTGCGCGTGCATTCCTCTGCTCGTAAACAAGGCACAGCGAGTGCGTGTTCTACGTCAGCAGCATCACGCGCATGCATCATATTCCTCTCGATAATGGCAGTAGATGGTAAGTCAGGGGAGAACAATTGTTAAATAAAGTCGTTATTTTTTGTTTTCTTGTGCACCTAAAATATTCTCATAGCTTTGTAAAATTACGATTGAACCACTGATGTCCCATGGACCATTTTAACGATGTTCTTATTACATTTCTGTGCCTTGACCGTGGTAGGACCCTTGCTGTCTATGGAGGGTCAGAAAGCTCTCAGATTTCATCAAAAATATCTTCATTTGTGTTCTGAAGAAGAACGAAGGTCTTACGGGGTTGGAACGACATGAGAAATTAATTACAGAATTTTCATTTTTGAGTGAACTATCCCTTTAATTTCAATTAATTTGACATAGATGGTATAACTGTCCTGAGAAGATAATCGATCGTACAATGTCTCCTTAAAATGTATATAAGGTTATTTACAATAAATGATTAGCTTATAAATGATTAACTCTGACAAATCGAAACCAACAAGCTTTTATTTTTTTTTAACAAATATCATTAATTGCATAGTGTTTCGGGACTTGAAATGGTAACATGCATAGGTAAAATTATATGATATTTTAAGAGACCATTTGGTGTTATTACCCCCCATATCGGCCTATGTTAGTTTCACTACATGACGTTTTTCCCTAAGTAAAAGGTTACTACAATTAAAGCATGCTCATCGTGAACTGTATATTTTACATTATGTAGGCTACGGATTGCATTTTAATGTATTTAAAAAATATATAAATAATAATAATAATAATAAAATGTTTCTATATTAAAATATTACATATATTTTACTTGATGGTTAAGCACTCATACACACAAAATAAAGGCATACAAAACCACTTTGTAAACAGAATGAAGAAACTTTTTATTGAATATAGATTTGATATGTACAAAGAGGCTTCATGTATATTTTGACACATCAGGTAAAAAATATGTGTAAAAACCATTTTCACTCTGCATACAGGAATCAAACACCATAGTACCTACGACGTACATAGACAACAAAATGTCATACAAATACATTAAAATGGGCAGATTACTCGTTGCTTTCTTTTAATGATTAAAACAAATGCTGTATGATCAGAGAAAGACAAAGGAATACAATAATTTCATTAAAAAAAATATGTGCATTTGGCGACGCGTTAAACTTTCAACATACAAAAACATCCCTCTTCACAGGCATTTCCCACCAGAAATGTCTACAATGTATACAATGTGATAAAAAATAGTAGATAAGCAGCCAGCACCAAAAAAAAAAAAATAATGATAAAAACCAGCTGCTGTTCTGGAAGTTTGTAGATACAATATTAAAAGCACATCATGTTGTACCACAGAACCAGAACAATTTTGGGAGGAAGTACCAAAGTCAGAGAAGAATAGAGCAGATATACTGAACGTTTTCCACAATGAATGGATCCGAGACGCCAGGCGGACTCATTTTAAGCGACTTGGAGGAGAGTACATCAGTCAATGGGCCTGGCTTTCCCTTTTGTGAGAGCTTACTGAGCTCTTTTAGCTTTAGCTCTGAAAAATGTGGCCAAGTGTTTCATGTGCCTGCCAAGATACAGTTCATAGACAAGAGAGAGTCATGTTACAGGCACTGGTGATACACACAATCCCACGCAAAACCCACACACATACACATATCACAAAAAAACAATTCTTTATATATATATATATATATATATATATATACACACATACACACAGCACACATAAAATCACATGACATTTGTTAGAGTGGTTTGGATTTTTGAACGAACAGTTAAACGGCAGCTAGTTTTAAAGGGATAGTCATGGAAAACTTTACTTTCTCTCATTCACGATGATGTTTGAAGAATGTCCTGGAATTGCTTTTTTTTATAACATACAAAAAATAGCTAAATAAAAGCACATAGTGCAATTTTATTGTAGAAGCTCAAAAGTCATATGGACAAATTTACTTGCCTTTTTTTTGTCCATTTTGGCAGCTCTTTTGAGAGAAAGTGTGGACTGCACTTTGTGTTTCACAGAAAGAAAAGCAAACATGTTTGGAACGACATGGGAGAGAGTAGATGATGACAACATTTTCATTACTAGGTGAACTGGTCCTTTAAAGGTTTGCAACTGTATCCGTGGCTACTGCGGCGTCTGCTTTAACCTGAGCTTTGTGTGTTATAGTGGAACACGTGTGCGAGCAACTGCCCATTAACCTGTGTGATAAAATAAAAACTAAAGTGCTGAACAGAACTGGTCTTTGCCTGAGCCACTGAAACCAAAGACGGTTTGTGTGAAGGCAAAGGTCAGAGTCACACCCACACCTACTGGGTTTAAAACTAATGCGTCCACACACACACAAGCACACTGCCTTGAAGTAACATGTATACAGTCTTGATGGGAAGCATTAAAGTCCAAATAGACACTAAATACTATCTTAACACATGTTCCTGGTGTTAACATGTAAAATTAATCTGTGAACATTATCCATTAAGAAAAGTTTGTAATCTTTCATCAAAATGTAAAAACATGCTCCACTTTTAAATTGATTTTCCATTGTGGCTGACTTCATCAGTCCCTCTTATTTTTAAGCCCCTCCCCTCCAACCACTCGTCATAGTCACCTTATTTTTCCCGTTAAGAGCGGGCACAGCCATTTGTCAATTTAATGTGTCTGGCTTCCTGTGTCATCTGCTTCCAACTATTCTTAGCTGTACAAAACAGCTCATTTTGCTGCTTGATATTGCAAACTGGTGTTTCTTACCATATTATTGCAATGTGTTATCTTAATTATAAATACACTGGGTTGAAGCACAAACAATTTAACCATTTAATGCACTTTGTTATTCTTCTCGTTATCGTAATGAAATGGAATTCTCGCATATTCTCAGAAAACAGCTTACTTCCGCATTGGAAAATATGGTGGATAGTGAAACATTTTCACAATACCACTGATTCCTAATGAAGAAAATTACGTTTGATCTCATTAGCTATTTTTCTATCCAAAGTTGCCGATTTAACTTATTCACAAAATTACAATATCGCATAAAACATTTGCAAATAAAACTGTTTCCATCCCATGTGTTCAAGATAAAAAAAAATCTCCAGCGAAACTGGCGCAAAGTATCAATAAAAAATGTATTTGTTAAATGTGTTTCCATCGTTGTTTATGCATGTATTCTTATCGGATAAAGAAATTATTATGCAGATTATGTGTTTGTTTGTTTGTTTTAATGCACATTTAGGAGCATCTTGGCGTTTCTTTGTCATATCCCAAAATTCCCATAAAATTAGTTGGATGAAAACATAGCTATTGAATGACAAACTTTCATGTTGACTTTCAAGTCAAGATTTTGTAATTATGTAAGTTTTTGTAGGCCTAGTTTATGTAAAGTTTATGTAATTTTCTGTTCTGATATTAGCACCAAACTAAATTATTTACTCTTCAGGAAGTATTTAAACAAATTACAAAACATTTAAAAAAAAAAAAAGTTTGAATTAATTCCCTAATTCCTGAATTCCCGGTCCGGGATCTGTACATTTGCCAGTTTAGTAGTGGAGGAACAGAGCCCACTAACAGAAGCAGAAGAATCAATTATGAAGTGAGTGGAGATGGGAGGCGTCACATGAAGAGCAACTGAGAAGTATGACGGGTTAATGGAGGTTTCCGTAGCAGAGAGTTGGAGGGTTGTGGGGTCATGACCTTTCTGCACTCTATTAGCTGAGTTCAGCTACACTGCTGGAGTACATGGGCTAACACACTCGCCCTGAACACATACTGTACACCTACACCCACAAAACTCTCATTAGTGTAACGCATCCACATTCTCAGTGAAGATACTAATGAAATATTTAAACTGTAAAATATTTACACATCATTGATATGTTGTACTAAATTTATGCTGTTTTTGTTTTATTAAAAAATTAAAATTTTCCATTTCTATTATAATAAAGTGAAAATGATTGAATTACTGTTCTTAAAATGTATATACATGTTTCTGTGGCTCAGTGGTAGAGCATTGCGTTAGCAGCGCAAAAGGTTGTGGGTTCGATTCTCAGGGAACACACATACTGGTAAAAAATGTATAGCCTGAATGCACAGTAAGTCGCTTTGGATAAAAGTGTCTGCTAAATGCATTTATATATATATAGGTCTTTATAGACCTAGAAACTAGCTTAATTTTTTAAAGCTAAATTTTGCATTGTTTCTTTTGATTTTTGTGGTGAAATATGACAAGTGTCTCAGCACACTTGACAAAAACAAGATATGTAGGTCACAATATGGTGGAAACAACCATGTATCAAAGCCTCGGGCGACTGTCATGTGATTGTCAAGAGTACCTAGTGCCATAACATCAATGAATTGAACAAACACACACACACATTTGTCAAAAGCAGGAATGGGTGATGGATAGTTGACAAAGATCTTCAGTGTGTACAAAGAGTTCATACTGGAGTAAAAAAAAAAAAAAACTCAGAAAAACCTCCAAAACCAATTACCCAGAATTCTCCATTCAGTCTCCATATTATAGCTCTGTCTCTCGCCATTCAATATTATTGCTGTCACATAGTTTTTCCTACAGTTTTGATCTCTCATCTCAGGAGTAGAAGGGGCGGCCCTTCTCAGGGGTCTGTAGACGGTTGAGCCGGGCGAGTTGGGTGGGCGAGGGTGGCACGTCTTGTCGGTAGGGGCCTTTGGGTGGAGCAGGAACAGGGGTTTGGCCTGGGGTTGGTGTCTCCTCCATAGTAGGTAGCTTGGTTTTAGCCTCCTGCTCCTTTCGTCTCTGTTCCTGTCTAAGGAGCTCTTGGGTCTCCAGGAGGACACGAGCGTTCAGGCCCGTGGCGGCGGCGCCCAGGTAGCCATTGGCAGTGCGGGATCCCTGGTAGCTGGAGTAGCGCGGGTTCTCTTTGGCGGACTGAAAGACCTCGCCGGGAGGATAGACTTTATCCCAAGAGTCTTGAGACACGGTGCTAGGGTTTTTACGTGGTTGTCTGTGTGGAAAAAAGAATGAAAGGTCATAAACGGAGACCAAAACGGTAAAAGAAGGACCCGTGTCAAATCTAGACTCGAGAGTGGGCTCTTTTGACTTGGGCCAGTAAGTAACCACCAAGAAATCATACTGTAAAGCCCAAGTTTGCCACACACATCCTAAAAAATGAGGCCAAAATATTTTGATTGCCCCCCTTGTGGCTGGCTGCAGTATAGGTCATGAACCCTGCCCTCTTCGAGATGTGAGCCAAACTAAAAAATCTAATTACTCTTCAATTAAATTTTACCCAAACATGGTTTCTGTCATTTAAGGTAGTTCTTATTACGCAGATGTATGTTCAAGTGTTTGTTTTTCTAATAAGTGTGGTTTTAGTTAGTTATTTGATTTGATAAAAACAGGGTGTGGCATCATGATTGTGAGTTTGTGAGAGTTTGGACAGGACTTCGATAATGCGGCTCCACTTTACGAATCCAAATGACGTTGTCGGCACAAGATGACAGTGGCCATTTCTGGGACATTTTGGCTTAATTTTTATACATTAGGAAGGAAATAAAGATTTGTTGTCCATATTTGCTTTACAGTCTATTGTGAAGCCTTAAACATCACCTACAATACGCTAACATTGTGGTGGTGAGTTGTCCAAGACAAGCGGCAGTCACATGTTCTCCAGAAAATGTAAAAATCTAGTTCTGTGCTGTACACAAACAGTTAAACACTCTTTTTGAGACCAGCTAGCGTACTTAACATCAAGAAAGGAAATAACAGTTTCCTTCAATGTCCATCCATACCACCCAATCAACTAATGCACATCTGACAGACCGCCAGCGTTAGATCCCTTTCTTGCTTAAAGGAACAAGGGAAGAAATATCCAACCTACAAATTTCTTTGTCAACGTTGCAGCCATTGTGAGGGGTGTCCACTCAGACTGTGTCCATCTTCCCTGTGCTATGTTATTAGGATCCATTAAGTGGGAATGTGAAGAAGCTAACATGCCACATCCCATTGCCTCATGGGTAAATGAAGCCCCACTCACACCTCACTGGCTTTGCATGCTTAAATGCATGTGTATGCGCACACTTCTGTTGGGCTTCACACAAGGAGTGCTTTCAAAAGTTGCAATTTCAAAAGTACAAATGTTCTAGTATTGTCTAGAATTCAAGATGAGGTGGTGAAATAAGGCGTGTTTACATTGTTTGTCACTAGCATGATGCTAGCGTGATTGCTCGGTGGTTGTTTACTTGCCCAACTCTAAAAAAGGCCAAGTGTCTGTTTTATTATGGACCCGCTTTCTGTCTTTTCGGCCAATAGCAGACAGGAAGACTATTTGGGAAACCTGTTTGAAAACAACCATTATTTTTGTAATTCTGATGGCAGTGGCACAAAAAAACTAAATTTCACCTGTAGATAAAGTAATGTGAAATGATAAGCAGTATCTTTATGATGATGTCATATCACAACATCTTAGAAGTATTTTACTCTTTTTTTTTGCTTTTTTGTAAGAGCTACAGTTTTTGTGAGTATCTGTATCGATCGCTAGGCAACAACTGTCCATTTGATTGCTAAGAAAAGTAATAGCACACCACTCTTCAACAAGCTGCATGATTTGAGGCATCATTCATTCAATATGAAACAAATTACACTGGAAAATGTAATACTTATGCTTTGAGGTTTAGAACAAACACCTAACGTTTAGTATGAACAAATATAATAGTAATTTTTGCCCTGGTAATCACCACTGAAACTCATAGTTTCATGCACTATGGTCATATTATTTGGATAATAAATAAAAAATCAGTGGGGTTTGAAAATGAATACAGATTACATTCAGGACAGATTGTGTAAAGCATATAATTTAAAGTCAAAGGCCATGAACCTAGTATTTTCAAATGCACGGAAAGTGAAATTGACTGGACACCAATAAAACTGTGTTGATTACAGTACATTGTCGTATTTCATTTATCGGTAAGATGCATTTTGTTCATATAGAATGAATGCAAGCCATTCAACCTCATACTAAGAGCAGATCCCAGCAGAACACAGAACAAAAACTGAGAGAAGCACATGGCACTTCTCACAAGAGCCAATGGTGTTAGGTAGAAAAAAATATTAAGAAGAAAAGAGCATCTTCATGCTCTTACAGTGACGTCTGCGTTGTTATTGAAACTATTGAGAAAATGGTGACTAATTATCACCTTAAAAACATATGTAAAAACAGACAGCTAGAAGGAAACTTGAGCTAAGATACACAATATATCTGGATTTTCTTTTTCATGCCATATTGTGAATATAGTCAAGGCTAAAGGCTGTTGTTTGCAATTGCATAACAGTAAAACATGTCTTATTTTCAAGTTTAAAATACTCCTTTCCCAAGTTAATATGTAGAGACAACTATAAATACAACATTTGTAGATTCACCTTCTTGAAAAAATGTGAAAACACAGAATCTCGACCAGCCCAACATAGCAACAGCTCAACCAATGGCATGAGTTTGGGGCGGGGCTTTCTGTCTGTTCGACCAATAGCAGATGGGGAGACTATTTGTGAAACCTGTTTGAACACAGTCATTATTTGTGCAATCCTTATGGCAGTGGCGCAACAGCAACACACTTCACCTGTAGATAAACTGATGTGAAATAAGTTTCATGCCATATTGTGAATATAGTCAATGCTAAAGTACAACATAACAGTGAAATGTGTCATATTTCAAGTGTATGTATAATATGTAATATGTAGAAACAACTGTAAGTAAAACATTTGTAGATTTATTTGAAAGATTTGAAAGCACTGTGGTGCTATCTAAACACTTTTCTCAATGTTTGAGAATCTCGACCAGCCCAACACAGCAACAGCTCAACCAATGGCATGAGTCTGAGGTGTGGCTTTCTGTCTTTTCGGCCAATAGCAGACAGGAAGACTATTTGTAATTCTGATGGCAGTGGCACAAAAAAACTAAATTTCACCTGTAGATAAAGTAATGTGAAATGATAAGCAGTATCTTTATGATGATGTCATATCACAGCATCTTAGAAGTATTTTACTCTTTTTTTTTTGCTTTTTTGTAAGAGCTACAGTTTTTGTGAGTATCTGAGAAACAGCTGGTGTGCATCACAGTTTATCAAAGGGACAACAGCTATGCACACAGAGAACAATATTATCTCAACACCTTGAGTAATGCTTTCTATCTGTTAACAGAAAGCAGAAAGAGAGGCTGGAACGTGGGATCCTCCTCTTATCGCTGTGAGTGTTGCCATATTATAACGGGCAGCTGTTGCATGAAGTTGTGCTCTGTTTCACACGACTTCCATTACTGCTAATCAGCGTACACTTTGCTTTTCTGCCATTTTCTGTTCCTCCCTTTCTTTCTGTCTAATTCGCATCCCAAAAAAGAATCCCTTCATTAGCCAAGTGCTAAATCTAAACCCACAGTGTAAACACATATTTGGATCCCTGTTAAAGCTTGCTTATAATCCACAATCTGTCCATGTGATTGGTGGAGGGACAGCATTCCAGTAAGTCTTTACATTACTAATGAGTGTGCATCTCTGCCGGGTCCTCCAGAGGACAGGGGTCATTTCACACCAGCTTGACCCTGCTTGACCGACGGTATGAGATTATGGGTGGAATGCATATCAAAGGGCCGCTGTCTGTGTGGAGCTTCCCCCAGAGAAAGTGTCAAAGCTCCGTCAGGAACCATTCGGCGGATTCCTCGTAAAGCCTGAGTTTTCGTCTGAAGTTCGCTCAATATAGACAGCGACATTGACGATGCTTAAAGCAGTGAGAAATAGTGGAAGCTGATTGGTTGAATTGATTAAGTGTCATTATGTCCACGTAGTGTGGAGTAGTGAATGTCAACCTCTCTATCGACCCTAGGACTTTCTCTACTGTCTTGGGAAAGAGAGTGGAAAAGAGAAGGGAAAAAAATGATGGACGAATCTGGGATTTATGATGCAAGGCCCCCCTCCTTTCTTGCGGTGTGTGCTGGGTTTTGTCATTGCTTGAGGGGGGACTAATTCTGTAATTGTACATATCCTGGTTACCCCGTTCACAAAGCCAATAAAAACAAGCTCCATGCATCTAGGTTAGACCACACAGACTGTAGACATTTCCCAATAATTCCAGTTCAGAATACCCACATAACACAATCTTATACTTAGGCAAATTGAATGGCATTAAATTTAAAATAACACATGTATGTATGTATTTATTTATTTCTTTTTATTTCTGTACTGCTAAGTCTCAGGGTTATAGACTTGAACAAACTCTAAACTTAAGCATTAAAAGTGAAATGCATTTTTTTGGACTTCTTATTCTCTTCTTATCCCATTTAAATTATGTTTTCCACAGACACCGTGCTTTTTGCTTATTAATTTTCCCTATATTCTCCCAACACCAAAAAAAATTAATAAATACATACATACCTGTAAATTATAAAATGATTTAATATTTTTTATGAAATTTTAATAACAAAGGTTTTAAATCATTATTATGAATAATTTTTCTTCTTAATATTATTCTTCTTATTATTAATTTATTTATTTTCTCCCTGTACTGGCAAAGCTGCATTTTCAGCATCATTACTCCAGTCTTCAGTGTGACATGATCCTTCAGAAATCATTCTAATATGCTGACTGATTGATTGATTGATTTATTGGTTTTCTTTTTCTTCCTTACTTTTTCCCCCTCCAGGATTCTTTGTTGAACAAAATATCTAAAGAATAGCATTTAATACATTCTTGGTGAATAAAAGTATCGATATATTAAAAAATAAATAAATAAATAAATAATTGATTGATTTAAAAAAAGAAAGGAAACAAAAGAAGAAGAAAAAAAGAAAATGAAAGAAAACAAAATAAAATGACCCCTAGCTTTTGCGTGAGCAAAAATTAGGTAACGTGATCAGACTTCCTTTTTTTTTTTTTTGGCAGACAAAACGGGAGAATGTGTCATAGAGACTACTGCTTTGATGTCAGCCGTCAAAATTTATTTTGTGGCTAACAGACCACCTTAGCACAAAGTTGGCAACACACTTGCATTGTGAAGGTGACATTTTAGCAATAAAAATGCAGTTTTTCCCTGCTGTGCTGTAAATAAACGTACTGAAATATTGAGTGAAACTTTATCAGCAGTGCCTGCAGTCCCCTGCCCCTGTCAGTTAAGTATGTAAAGCTCTAATGTGGGATTTTTTTCTTCTCGTGTCTGTTGGCTGGATGCTTTGCATGAACTGAAGCAGATTAAGAAGATACCAATGCCTGCAAGTAGAAACACCGATATCAAACTCAGCCCGCAGCCAACATTCTAAGCTTTATTGACATTTATGACAAATATGCAAAGGGGAGGGGAAGAAAAAAGAGAGAAAGTGAAGAAAGCAAATAAAACAGATGAGAGACGAGGCTGATATCCATCCGAAAAAAGTGGAGCCCTATAGGCTGCGGTTGCCAAGATAAACTTCCCTCAACAAACAGGTTCTCGGGCTGATCTTTATTAGGTTTAGGAGGGGCTTGTGAGCATGAAGACAGACGCTGTTGCTGTTCTGAAGGCTTAGAGCAAAGACAGAACCGACCGCATGACAATGGGATGACTTCAGCGGAGAAATGCCACCGAGGTCAGAGAGAGTGTGAGAGACGTGGAAATAAGATTGCACGCATAGTTGGGTAATGGCTGATTTACTAGCATGAATTTATTGCTTTGCTCAATAGGCGATCCAGCAACATATGTAGTCGTATTTCAGATTTTTTACTTGAATGTGAGGAATAGCTTTACAAAATGTAATGGGGAAATACTGTAATGGCATCATAATAATGGTATCATATGATTGTTTACGTATCATTTACACTGTACCACAATCTCAGCGTCCCAAAAAAAGTCATTAAAATGATACACTTTCAATAATAATAATAATAATAATAATAATTATTATTATTATTATTTAAATAAATAATACACTACTACTACTACTACTACTACTACTACTAATAATAATAATAATAATAAGTATTATTATTATTATTATTACTATAAACGAAATGGACATATGATAATACATTTTATTTTATTGAATTTTATTTAGAACTGCTTTTCAATTCCAAAGGTCATGCATAAATGAGATGAAGACCTGGAATCCAGCTCTACCAAAAAAGTCCTCTTTTATATGAAAATTGTAGAATGAATGCATGGTTTTAGTGCTTTAGACAAATTGTTCATTTAGTGTTATTGTGAGAGAAAATGTGTGCTTAACAGATCTGAGAATGTGAGATATGTTGTGCAGTGGTGTCTCTGTGTGGCTTTCCTTACCGCGGTAAGGAGTTGTATTGCCTCTGGGCTTGCGTGTAAGAGTCTCTGTCCTCTCTCTGTTTCTGCATTTGGTCCTCCACAGAAACCGAGTGCCGCCCCGTCGGTGTATAAGAACCCGTGTTGGCCTGAAATATGAAAATACATATTCCGGGTTACATGCAAATATATGTAAAGCACTTTAAAATTGTGTGTTCGACAGAAAAGAAAAGTCATTCAGAGTAAATGGTGATCCTTTTATGAAATACAGGCTTTCCTGATCTTGTACAGGAAGTTTTTGCACTATATGTTTGCACTGACCAAGTTAACAAGTGTACAAAATATAACAAGCGCAGCATAATTTTATATTTCACGGTCAGGTGGGGGTTTTATAATTGTTGAGGGGCACTTGATCACTACTGATTCTTCCTACAGCGCAAGGTGCGCTAATGAGAAACATGACTACCGCACCCGAACGCAATTAGCCTCGAGTGCACTTGTGCCACAAACAGCTGACATCGCAAAAATGACAAATGCTGCTTTAATGCGGTGAGGCGAGTATTTAAACGATTCATAAGATGGTAAAAACAGAACAATTTTACATTACGGCTATGGTCTAACAGCAAACTGGAGAATCAGGCCATTTTATTCATGTCTGATGAAGGCTGAGCAAAATCCCCAATGAGACACATTTTAATAGCTAAAGGCCTGGTAAATTTCTTTCCTAGCAACATATTAAGCCAACAACAGAGAAAAGGAAATGCTTTTATTGTGAGATAGAAGCAACAATGAAGTAATTATTCACAGTGAGATGTTTTAATGAGATTTGGACTGAGAGGAAACTGCAGCAAGCAAAAATCAGCTGTGTGTGTGTGTGTGTGTGTGTGTGCGTGCGCGTGATATGTCACTAGCCACATACACACTATAGATAAATACGGTTGTCGATCCTCTTCTGTACACACATACAATCTCACTTTCAAAGTTCGACTGTTACCTAAAAATAAATTAAATCATCAAATACCAGTAGCAAAACACAATAAACTTACACAGTACTAATTTAATCACATTTTAATTAAATTGCCGTTCTACCCTGCATGTAGAGACTGATAATTTAAAGTTTATCAGCAGTGCTTATAAAAACATGAAAGCATGACATTTTCATGACATCTCCAGACAGCACATGGCACTTTTTCCCATTAATTACACAGAAATGGTCTTTGTTTCCCCTCTTTTTCAGACGTAGAACAAATACAACAATATGAAGCCCACCTGAACAAACACAAAAAGTGGCCTGATAGAGAGACAGACATAATTATGAAAAATTGACCATATCAATTCTGAGCCAGAAATTAAAAAAAAAAAACCCAGCACAGAAAGCTTGCCGGTTCCAGACTTCCAAATAACTTATAATTCCAGCCTTTAATATCAAAGATGGGCCAGGCCTCCGGTGTACAAGGGGGTCAGAGACACACACACACATGCACCGTGTGTAACAATGTTTACTGCACTATACACTCAACCACTTCCAGAAACCTGCTCCGACATATGGAGTTAATTTAGGAACTGATGCACTTGACTGGGTGAGCACAGGAAAAAAGAGATAAAGAAAGGACAGAATGCAGATGGAGGGAAAAATTAAAGTGGAATGGAAAATGAGTGAATCATTCTGCAAAAATGTATCATAATTAGCAAGTTGTGACAAGACTGAGGTGTCTGTGTCTCAGATTTAAACAGAGAACAAGAAAATAGACAGACACTGTGAAAATGTGAAAGTGACAGCAGCTATAGACAGACACATCATTCCTCTCATCCCTTAGACATTTCACTTTTCTGCTCGAGTGCTTGTACACCAGGGAAGGTTTATCAATTGCATAGCAAGACTCTAGTAATGACTCAGAACACCTTAACAGCATAGCAACTTGCCAATAGGACACCCTAACAACAATATATCCACATAGTAAAAACACTTAGAACACTGTAAAAAGCACCTACCAACAAACTGAAATCACATAGAACACCCTAACGACAGTATATCACCCTAATAACATTCAGAACACCTTAATAAGCTCCTAACAACACCTTAAAACCATATAGAACACTCTAATGACAGTATAACACCATATCAACATTCAGAACACCTTAATAAGCACCTAGCAACACCTTAGCAATCTCCTAGAAGACACTAGTAAATGCATGGCAACACAGTAAAACACCCAGAACACCCTAATGACCACTCAGCAACACTCCTGCAACTACCACCCTACTGCAACACCCTAACGACAGCATAACAATGCATTAACAACACTCTGAAAACCCTAATAGGACACAGTAACAACAGCAAAGCAACACACTAAAACACTTAGAACACTGTAATAATCACCTAGCAACCGTTCAAAACACCTTAACAACAGCATAGAAAGACATTAATATCACATTAGCAACCACCTCAAAACCCCTAAAAACAGCATGCACTAACAACACTGAGAACAACCCCATAACTACAAAGCAACACCCTAGCAACCATCCATAACACCCTAACAATACCATAGCATCACTCTAACAGCACTCAGGACATCCTAATAACTACCTAGAAAACCCTGGCTACATCCTAGCAACCACCAACACAACTAAAACACTCATAACACTCAAATAATCATCTAGCAACACCTTAGCAACACTCCAAATAATCCATCTTAACAACAGCATAGAAATGCATTATCAACTCCCTAGCAACCACCCCAAAACCCCTAAAAATACTAAGAACACCTTCATAAACACATAGTGACACCCTAGCAATCATCTAAAACAACAGCATAGCAACATACTAACAACATTCAGAACACCCTAATATCCACATAAACACATTAGAAACCACTTAGAACACAATTACAACAGTATAGCACCCTAAAAACATTCAGAACACCCCAATAAGCACCTGGCAACACCTTAGAAACCACCTAGAAGACCCTGACGACAGTATAGCACCCTAACAACATTCAGAACCTTTAGCACCAGTTTAGAAGTCATTATAAATCAACATGATATTTCAATCTTAAGTGTTTTTTGAGTCATAAATGGCCCTTGGGTTCTCTCAGACCCGAAACAGAACATGAAGGGTCGAATGTGTATTATGGTGAGATCAGAGTTCAGCTCAATGTTCACAACAGATACACTCCACACATCCCCTGTAGGTAATCTAAATTGTATCATCTAGTGCTAAATCTAGTGAACATGGAGGGATATATAACAGTAGGAAGGTAATCAACATATATTTCACAGGAGGGACACTAATCTCGAGCTGCAGTGGATTTATCTACCCACTGTAGGCTCATTATCATGTTGTGTACTTCTTTTCGCCCACATGCAGCAATTGTTCCCTGAGCTTACAGTGTGTTCCTGCAGTGGTAATTTGGCATTGAGAGATAACCTTGTCTGACCATTGGCCACAGTGGGTCGACTGTACGAAGACAAGAGGTTTTGGATTCCACACTGTGGAAATCATGCCTGGTTTCCTGTGTGGTTTAAAATCAAAGAAAACATGCTGGTTGCTCTGAATCCTGAAATCAATGGCATTCTTTCGAGTCATGAAGGCTGCCTGAATGCTTGCCAGCACCGAGGTCCTTGTAAAAGAGGAGAAAAGCACGTAAATATGGGCCTAAAGAAAGCATTTGTGCTTGTGTGTGATCCAGGAACCGACATAAAACTTCCGACCCTTGTGTGGCCTCCGATTGTCTTAACAAAAGATTGATTTGTATTGGCTGAGACAGGGCGGCAAGCCTCTGGAAGGAACATGCTCTTTAAGACAAACATCTGTAAAAGCCCCTTTGAAAGTCATAGCGAAAAATGCTGGGTGTGATATACAAGGGAGGCATAACAAGACACGTCTAATTGTCTGTTTACCGGTGGAGGTCTGTGACAGGTTCTGGCCACAGGGCGATTATCAGCAATCTGGGTTGGCAGCTCGTCGTCGCACATAAAAACCTGATGACGGGTTTCTTTCAGTCCTCGGGGGGATTGTGAACGCTGAGAACACCTAATGTGCGTCTCGTGTTGTCAGAACTCACGCTGGGTTTGAAGGATTATCTGGGGTGTACTTACCCATTTTTCTTCATAAAGAAATGAAAGGCGTTTGATGTAAAGTTGGGAGTTTTGGCACATAGCTACATATTTAAAAGGCAATCAATCATTGTTTCATGCCACTTTGATTATCTGTTGCACTTGAGGGACACTTCTGAATGGTGTAATGCACGGTATTTATAATCAAAGCTATAAATAACAACTGGCAGGCTTTGAAATGCTAAAGAAACCTCCAAAACATGCTGAGTACCTGTAGCTAGATGGTCACAAGTGTTAATTAGACAAGTGCTTTTCATAGGCATTTTATAACACTTAATGAAACTACTGTGCAAAACGCAATACTGTAGTGCAGTGATGGTATCAAATGATAATAGCACACCATGATACTGTATGATTATTATATATATATATATATATATATCTTAGAGAGCGAAGGAGAACTGAGGAAGGAAATCCTCAAAAAAATGGGTGAAAAAAACGAATTGAGAACACAAAGAGGTAAAACATTAAGCTTGCAAAAATATGGAGCACCAAGAGAAAAAAAAACAAAAAAACAAAGTACAGCATACGGCTCAGCAATTCAGGATACGGATGAATTACAGAGATGTCATCTCTGTGGGGAGCTGATACAGGAGGCTAAGCCTCCATTGATGTTGATAGCTTCTAATTTACTCTCCCTATTCAATCCTCCCTTACAAAAGAAGACAAATCTTTCTATCTGTTCGGTGGAGTCCATGAACACTCCAACACCACTGCACATGATTAGTCTCAGCGTATGCTTGACATCAGGTGTTGCGTGGGTTATAAATACCTCCAGGCATGCATCAACGTCAGCCACGGGGCCGGCTAAACAAGACCTCATGAAGACCTGCAGCAATTTGCGTCAATAAAGCGGCAGCAATTAGAACAAATGCACCCGTAAGCCAAACAATGGAGGTGGGTGAGGAGGCGGCAGAGTATGAGGGGAGGATGATGAGGGATCGCTTTCCCCAGCCTCTTGTTTATGCATCAGATTAAAGGTCAGGCGGTATGCAACTTAAAGCCAGCTTAGAGGATGGGCCCATGTT